GCCTGCTGTGTTCATCCAGCCCTGCACCTACAGTCCTGAGTCAGCGTTGGTGTCCTGGAGGATGTATCCACGAGTAGGTGTTGCTGCACCATTCCTCTCCTTTACGTTAGAAGGTTACATGCCCCTCAGCAGGGGGCTGAGAAAGAAAATACGCTTGGAATCAACAGTATTGAACTTGGAACAAATGTTCACCAGGCTTTGCCGCGAAACAAATGACTGTGGATGCTAGAGATTGAAACAAGCCAGAATGGAAATTGTTGGGGAGAAACAGGTGCAGGTCTGGTGGCATCTGTGCAGACAAAACAGAGTTAATGTTTGAGTCTCGTGATTTTTCTTCAGAACCAGGTCTTAAAAAAGCTTGGGTGCAAAGTAGCAAGAGAAATGAGAGTTAAGAAGTTAAGTGTTACTTCATAGAATAGTAGAAAAATGAAGAAATATGTAATAGTTTACATTAAAGTCTTCCATAGTTTAAAGTAGGAAAATAAACAAGTTAAAAGTTTATCAACTTTACTAACACCTTCCACCCCAACCTTAAGTTCACCTGGACCATCTCTGATACCGCTCTCTCCTTCCTGGACCCCTCTGTCGACCACCTCAACTGATATCTATTTCAAGCCCATCGACTCCCACAGCTACCTAGACTACGCCTGCTCTCGCCCATCTTCCTGCAAGAATGCAATCCTCTACACCCAATTCCTCCACCTCCGCTGCATCTGCTCCTAAGGTGAGGCATTCCACTCCCAAACGTCCCAGATGTCCTCGTATTTCAAGGACCGCAACTTCCCCTCTTCAGTGGTAGAAAATGCTCTCGACTGCATCTCTTGTGTTTCCTGCACCTCTGCCCTCTCATCCCCTCCCCGCGACAAAAACAAAGACTGAATCCCCCTTGTTCTCACGTATCACCCCACTAACCTCTGGATTCAACGCATCATTCTCCGCCACTTCCGCCACCTGCAATCTGACCATAACCAAGGATATATTTTCCTCCCCAGCCCTATCTGCCTTCCATAGGGACCGCTCTCTCTGCAACTCCTTCGTCCGCTCCACATTCCCACTAGCCCCACCGCCCCTGGCACCTTTCCCTGCAACCGCAGGAAGTGCTACACCTGCCTCTACACTTCCCCCCCTCCCCTCCATCCAAGGAACCAAAAAAACCTTTCACATCAGACAAATGTTCACCTGCACATCCGCTAATGTGGTCTGTTGCATCCGCTGCTCCCGATGTGGTCTCCTCTACATGAGTGAGACCAAGCGGGGACTCGGAGACTGCTTTGCAGAGCACCTGTGCTCGGTTCGTGGCAAATGACATCACCTTCCAGTCGCGAACCACTTCAACTCCCCCTCCCACTCTCTGGGCGACATGTCCATCCTGGGCTCCCTCCGGTGTCACAATGACGCCACCTGGAAACTGGAGGAGCAGCATCTCATATTCCGCTCTCAATGTGGACTTTACTAGTTTCAAAATCTCCCCACCCCATGACCAGCCCTCCTTCTTATCCCTGCCCCCTTGACCCATCTGTCTTCTCTTCCACCTGCCCGCCTCACTGACCAATCCCCACCACTGCCAACCTGCACTCACCTATCACCATCCCACCTACCTTCCCCAACCCCGCCCCTCCTCACTTTATTTCAGAGCTCCCTTCCCCTTCCCCCATTTCTGAAGAAGGGTCCCAACCCGAAATGCCAGCTTTCCTGCTGCTGTGATGCTGCCTGGCCTGCTGCGTTCCTCCAGCTCCACACTGTGTTATCTCTGACTCCAGCATCAGCAGTTCTTACCATCTCTAAGTTAAAAGTTCAACAGTCTTTGATGAGTCTTCCACTTATTTCACTTTGGTCCCACTTATGCTGTTTGCCCCCTGGACCTTCTCCACTCCTTCCTCCAGCATGTCAAGTGAGTTAGCAGGAAACATCTCCAGCATTGTCAAAAGCTTTCCTGGAAACAAAAACTCTGCCCCCACCAGCGCGGTAGACTCTCCTCTTAACGCCACCCAACCCAGAGAGAAGCACCTGCGAGGGGCTAGCCATCTCAGACAGGTGCCTGGAGGCCAGACGCAAAAGGTGATAGAAGCGTACAAAAGCCCTGACAACCCACCCGCTGCCTCATCAGACACCACCACCTGTGGCACGGTGTGCAGATCCAGCATTGGACTGTTTACTCTTGTAACCTACAACCCTGGAATGCAAGAAAGTCAACCACGGTCCCAAGTGACCACTTCAGAAGAAGTACCTCCTAACCCCTCAGTCTGATAACACCTATGAAGTACCTTACCGTATCTTATCTGATACCTAATGCTCAACTCATTAGCATGACAACTTATTATGTTGCTGGAAGAGCAATTCACCTGGTACCCAAAAGCCACTTTTGCCCTATAGCCATGCAAATCTTTTCTCTCTGATCATAATCCAAATCACTTTTGTAAACTATAAGTTTTTTCCATCACGCTACAGCAACCATGTTATGAAACAAAAGAAGTGACTTTGTGAGCAAGGTGGGAGCAGAGTGGATGCTGAGAGTCATGGGAGTTGGTAAGAATGTAGGATGACAAACTCTCGAGTAAAATAAGGGACATCTTGTCATGGTGAATAGGAAGGCACTCATGTTCAAAGATCAGAGATCAAAGATACAGAGAAAAGACCTAGCAAAATCTGTGACAGTTGATCACCCTGAAAACGTGAGAGGAGTTAGGAGAGTGTGGTGGGGAGATTTACAAATTGAGAGAGAGGAGAGCTCTTGAGACCATACCAGTGAGGGGTGTGTGGCTAAAATGTACCTTTTTGTTTTGCTGAGTCACAACATCATCATCTCTCAGTTCACAATCACACACAAACCATTCATGTCCACACTGGAAACTCCCAGGATCAATCATTAAGCGGTCTGAGAAATAAACAACAAAATTGTTACAAGGGATATGGTACATTCAAAATAATCGACAGTCCATTAAAACAGGACAGATGTCACCCTACCTTGGCAATGTATTCCAAATATCCAAAAAATGCACATCAAAGAAAGGGATCTCCCTCATGACCTTGTTGCTTCATTTCTCAGTCACCTTAAATTGTTGTCCTCTAGTTATCATTTTGTTACCAACACGAACTGTTTCTCTCTATCTACTCTGTCCAAACCCCTCATGATTTCAACAGCACTATAAAATTCTCTTCTTAATCATCTCCAAGGTGAATGGCCCAAGATTCTCCAATCTACCTGCGTAACTGAAGTTCCTCACCTTTGGAGCTATTCCTTTGAATCTTATGGCACCTAAACCAATGCCTTCACAAATTTCTGAAAGGATGGTGCCAGAACCAGACACAATACACCAGCTAATGCAAACCACTATTTATGCAATTTTATCATAACTTCCTTCATTTTGTACTCAACACCTGTAATTAAAATGCTCAAGATTTATGGGCTTTTGTGATCATTTTCTCAGTCTGTCCTGGTACCTTCAATGATTGTGCACAGTCCTTTTGTTCCTGCACCTTTAACCAGTTCCAGATCGACATTAGCTTTTTTCTAACTCCTATGATTTCTGAACAATGACCTTTTCTCCAAACACTCAACATCAATTCAGTAATAAAATCAGAAACTGTTGGAAATACTCTGCCAATATTTTCTATTTTTATTTCTGATTTTCAGCCTCCACTGTATTCTGTTTTCATATCAATTAGCATCAAGGAGCTCTAGCAACACTGAAATCAATGTGAATTGGGGGAGCTGACGTGAGCTAGCTGCTGGTCGGAGTCAACCTAGCTTAGGGGAAGATGGTTGTGGTTGTTGGATGCCGGGACATCAGTGCAGGAGTTCCTCAGGTTAGTGACCTTTGCCCAGCCATCTTCAGCTTCCCTCCATCGTAAGGTCAGAAGTGATGTTCGCTAATGATTGTAAAATGGAACCAAGGGCTGCTTCAATATATTTTGGAGTTGCAAATAGTGCCATCAATGAACAGACCGACTTCTGACCTTACGATGAAGGGAAAGTCATTGATGATGTAACGCAAGACATTTGGGACTAGGACACTACCCTGAGGAACAACTGCAGAGATGTCCTCGTGCTGACTGGCCTCAAACAATTACAAGCATCTCTCTTTGTGCCGGGTATGAATCCAACCAGTATGGAGTTTTTCACTGATTGCCATTGACTTTAATTTCACCAGGATTCCTTAATGTAATATTTGGTCAACGCAGCCTTGATATCAAGGGCAGTAACTCTCATCTCACCCATTAATACTTTCAGACCCTTATACCATTAAGCAACATCAAATACTTCATTTTCATTTATTTTCCTAACTTCCTGCCCTTCTAGCTTACAATCTAACATGGTACAATTCTAAATTTTCTCAGTTCTAATGAGGTCATTAACCTGAATTGTTATCTCATTTTTTTACCACAGCCTGATCCACTGAGTATTTCCATTGTTTTCTGTTTTTATACCTAGCAGTTTCCACATGTATGCTAACAACACCCAGCTTTACCTTGCCACTACCTCCATCAGCCACTGCCTCTAAGTTATCACATTGTTTGGCCAAGTGCAAAACTGGACTGACAATACTTTCCTCCCACTAAATGTTTGGAAAACTGAAGCTGTTGTCTTCAGTGT